ATAGGTTAACCAAGCGAGATTATAAATACTTGTGAAACGTGCCGTGAATAGAATACCCAAGCTTTTTCAATTTTTTCCCTGAGCCTCATTTGAATATATTTATACACATATTGTAACATTTTGAAATGTCGATAATCTGATTATGAAACTCCCTCTGCTATTTGACACAATTTTTTCCCTCGGAAGTAAATCAATTTCGCAAATACAAATTCCATTAAGGATCCCTGTCCCACTGCAGGCATTTAAGAGAGTTCCACTGTACTACTGTTGACACTGTAGCTCAGTTGGTTAAAGCAACAGTATAATGCTCGGAGGTCCATGGTTCGAATCCTTAATTTGCCCTATTTCATATTTTTACACCTGGGACACTGTTGTCAATTCGTTTTTTGCTATTTCATCTTTATTATTTTCAACTTTAGTTCCACAATGAATGTTTTTCTTTTCAGATATGACTGATTAATTGTCAAAGCTGTAGTCATGTACCTAATGCATAGTTACAGTTTTTGGCAATGGTTCGGGGATCCTTAATTTTGACTAGTGACCTTCGTTTTCCTTTGTTCGTACTATCCAGTATGTGACTAGTGACCTTCGTTTTCCTTTGTTTGTACTATCCAATATGTGACTAGTGACCTTCGTTTTGCTTTGTTCGTACTATCTAGAATTACCTACAAGTAGGTGTTCAGTGACTTTATGATATGGTAACCAACCACTGACCTATGAGGGGAAGCTCTATATCAATAACTGACATGCTGTTTTGACTTTTTGATATGGTAACCAACCACTGACCTATGAGGGGGAGCTCTATATCAATAACTGATACCCGGTATGCTGTTTTGACTTTTTGATATGGTAACTAACCACTGACCTATGAGGGGAAACTCTATATCAATAACTGACCAGCTGTTTTGATAGTGTGATCTTCAGCTACTTAATAGCGGGGCCAGCAAGGTTCATTGAAAACTATTGCATGCTTTCTTTTTCAGTTTTTTCAAATATCATGAATTACGTCATGTTTAAAAGGTACTTTTCCACACCTGACTGATTATGATCTAGATTTGAACCCTGACTGAGCCTCCCACCATTATTTCTGTAATTCTACCCAAATGAGCTACCTGGTCAATGGTGCTAACTTAACAAAGTCTCATTATATTAGTGACAGTTATATTTAAAACGAAATTAAGGGGCGGATACTCTATGTAGTAAAGCCTAAAGTGGAAATATCTAGTGTTTTATCTGTAGTGGGACAAGGATCCTTAAAATTAATAATTATATAGATATTGTTTACTTAACCCTCTCACCACTGTAGACCATAATGGACTAATCCAGATCAATGCATGGTAGAGTCTACTAAAGTTACATAGGGGTGAAAGGGTTCAGGACAGATCTTGCTGGATTAGTATCAATCTTCTCTGTCAATAACATTGTGATACGTTTGTATGTGAAATATGTTAAAATTCAGATGGACTAGAAAGATGCCTTTAGGAAGTTGTCACGGCCCATGACAAAAAATGAGATGATATATGATATGGAGTGCATCCCGGAACTGTAGTTTTTAAAATCTTATCACTGTATGCGTAATCACTTGTAAATGGTTCACTTGAAATGAAGAGAGTCTGGGTTCATTTGACAGGTTATGTTGCAAACAATGTAAGTAACTGTGTGCAAAACCATGCTGAGAGTCATTGTCATTGACATTTGGTGTAATACATGCATTAGAAATGATCAATTTGGTGCTGATTCAGTAGGATAGTTATCATGACAATGTTTCTAATGTTTGTATAGATAGACCTATTCATGTTTTCATAAAATTCATAAAAAAGTAATCATTCATAAATGTATCATGTTGCAACCTTTTCACATTTAGAATTTGGAAAATGCTATTTTTAGAAGTTAAAAATAGAAATTTGGTGCTAAATATTTAGTAGTTAAGTTATCATGACATTATGCTTCAAATTTTCGTGTAGACTTGTCCATGTTTTCATAAAATTCATAAAAAATTTGATCACAAATGCACTCATCAATGCACGACATTTCCTCATTTTCAGGTTTGTAAATATAAGAAATCCTGTGGCTTTTAATTATTTTAATTTCCTTAATCAGGCTTTTACATGAAAGCTTTTTTATATAACCTCTATTAAGTTGCCATTTTTCATATGGAACCATTTTTTCTCCTAGCTCTTTAGGGGGTTTAATAAGAACAGAATATATTGAAGAGTCCATGTAAAGTCTTCAGTAAGATTCATCAGTTTGAAAATATGTAATATCAAAGTGTTACTTTATACACAAACAGTATACATATTGTTACAACACGTTCAGTATGTACATTTTTTGTGTATAAAGTAAAACTTCGATAGTCCCTGTAAAGGTTGAAAGAAATCCTCAGTATATTTAATTTCTCAAAATATTTGTATATATACTGGTATGTATTTGATACCAACTAACTTCTACATTGAAGTTGCAGGAATATATGCAAAATATTTCAATGAGCAAATTTCATTTTGAAACAGAAACTACCTAACTATTGGTATACGATTATGGTGTCTATAAGGTATGCCCCAGGGCTAGACAATAAGGGTAGCCCGATAGTCTGAGACTAGTGAAATCTCCCGCTGGACTACTGCAGGGCTAGCCAATAAGGGTAGCCCGATAGTCTGAGACTAGTGAAATCTCCAGCTGGACTGCTGCAGGGCTAGACAATAAGGGTAGCCCGATAGTCTGAGACTAGTGAACTCTCCAGCTGGACTACTGCAGGGCTAGACAATAAGGGTAGCCCAATAGTCTGAGACTAGTGAAATCTCCAGCTGGACTAGTGCAGGGCTAGACAATAAGGGTAGCCCGATAGTCTGAGACTAGTGAACTCTCCAGCTGGACTACTGCAGGGCTAGACAAAAAGGGTAGCCCGATAGTCTGAGACTAGTGAACTCTCCAGCTGGACTACTGCAGGGCTAGACAATAAGGGGAGCCCGATAGTCTGAGACTAGTGAAATCTCCAGATGGACTACTGCAGGGCTAGACAATAAGGGTAGCTCAATAGTCTGAGACTAGTGAAATCTCCAGCTGGACTACTTCAGGGCTAGACAATAAGGGTAGCCCGATAGTCTGAGACTAGTGAACTCTCCAGCTGGACTACTGCAGGGCTAGACAATAAGGGTAGCCCAATAGTCTGAGACTAGTGAAATCTCCAGCTGGGCCAGTGGTTCTAAAAACTGCTGGCCCAACTGACTAGTCAAAATCTGATATTGCTTATATTGTTGAATAATATTGGGTCAAAGGATATTTTATATGAACGAGTAAAAATTGTAAAATACTACTCCAATGGGCTAGTGGTATTCAAAATTAATTTCTAGCCCTGAACGTCCATTTGGCGACAGATTTCGGCTGCAGTTACTTGAAAATTGCAGATTGACCCCTCAGACCTTGAACCATGAAATAATATCCATTTTATTTTTGTATATAAATATTTGATATTTTGCCAGTGATATTTACAATGCAATCTTTATAGCATAATAAGATGTACATACTCCAGAATTTCAGTGGTGTTAAGTGATGTTGAAAATGGGAGTATTTAGATGGGTTGTCTGGAACTGTAGGGCGCAGTCTAAATAATACCCTCTACAAATCCTCGCTAAGAATTGGTTTTAACAGATTGATTATGTATAGTAAATGACTTCCTTCAATACAAATTAAGTGCAAACAATCTAATGAAACCCATGCAACATTAATATAGAGCAAGTGTGGACATGCTTATTTTTATGCAAAGGGACATAACTCCCCCAAAATAGCCAAATGAAAAATACTGCATGCTAAAATGTACAAATTTTTAAGTTTTAATGAGATTTTATGATAAACTTGTGTCTATAGACAGATAACTTAAACCCAGTATATGCCATAATAGCTTTTATTATGAGAGGTGTAAATAAAAGTGAGTTGTGTACTTGTTGTATTTAAATAAAAATATATTTTACATTTTTCAATGCTATTTTTTTGTTCTTGTTTACCATACTCTGTATCTCTAGGTACTGGCTATGGTATGAATACTGTAAACAACATTTTCAGGGATTTTCATATTTTTCTTACTTTTGACGCTAATTTGAAAGCGTTTAAGATGATACCGGTAACCACTTATTCTAAAATGATTGCATTCTTCGTGTTTATTACAGAAACATGTAGCAATGTATGTATCTTGAAAGTTGTTGCCAATAACAGGAAATATCAGCGTACTAATTTAAGTGGACGACAGTGATTTAATTTGATACATGATGGACACAGGCAATTACTTGCCTCTATGACCATATCATATATGTAATAATTTAATTTACAATTTGAATTTTGAAATTTAAATTCAACTAGAGGCCCAGGTGGCCTGTATTGCTCACCTGGAAATGTTGGCAAAATTGAAGTTGAAATAATCAGATACTGCTGTAGTCAGGGGTAATATATATATGCAATTGGACAAAATCCTGTCATTCCTACAGGAAATGGAGGATTTTGAAGAATTTGCTATGTTTCCACAATTGGGCCCCACCCCTCTGCCCCAAGGGGGGTCAGACCCACCGTTTATACAAAATTGAGTCACCTTGGCCCAAGGGCGTTCCAGATTAAATTAGGAGAAAATCCTTAACCCCTACAGTAGAAGAAGGATATTTAAGGTTTTACCTCTATTTCCATTGTTTGGCAAAGCCCTCTGCCCCCAGGGTGGCCACACCCACCGTTTATACAAAATTGAGTTCCCTTGGCCTAAGGATGCTCCAGATTAAATTAGGGAGAAATCCCTTAATCCCTAAGGCACCCCCTTATACTAATATGATTTATTAGTATAAGGGGGTGCGATATCTAGTGGGTTCGAAAATATATCACATATATTCAAGAACCTGAGCACCTGTGGTTGAGCTACTTTGTAAAAATATGCAGTTTGCCTAACAATTTTATGCAACTTCGTGATCTATAATTAAAATATATACATATTTTATGTATGTTTTATTACGACAAAATCTACTCACCAGAATTTCTGCACTGCAGCACATTTCAAGGGAGATAATCAACATCTTAGACAAGGCGGGGTCCAGTGGAAACTCCACCATCTGTCGGCCGAGGGGTGTCAGGGATCCAGTATTGTCTAGAGCACCAAGAATCCATAACTGGTACATGGAGTTCAGGATATTGTCCTGCAATAAAAAAAAAAAAATATCATACAAGTATTAAATTAAACAAGTCTTTCGGATTGATATGTCTCACCTGTGACCCACTTTGCCCATCAATGCACATATCAGAGAAACTAAGTTAAAGGCAAAAACTTAATGTTGATGAAGATGTTGACAAAGGCAATGGACCGTGAAATGTAGGCTGCATCCAGCATTTGATGCATGGGTTGAGATGTACTACCTAAGATGCATGTATGGTTCAAGTTTGGTTGGTCTAGCACCTATACTTTCAGTGAAACTAATTAAGTTAAATGCAAAAACTTATTGTTGACGCCTCCGCCGGAAAAGCAACACCTTAGTCTCGCTTAGTGGGGGCAAGACAAAAACTGTTTTGTGTCAATACATTTAGAGAAACCTGTAAATTAATGAATTCACAAACGCTGTGTATGTTTTAAAGATGTTTATATACTAAGAGGAAACTTGTCAATCTTAGGAAAACTGATTGGTCAGTTGGATGAACTGCATAAAGACTTCTGACTATCCGAGTAATTTTTTACTTTTTATTATTTTGCATGGAACTTTATATAATACAGCTGTACCCCCGACTGTTTTTGGTTGCAACTCATGCAGTTCACAGAAGAGCTCAGCCAGAATAGGTAGTCAGAATACTATCTACAGTATAATACAGGCATACAATTTACATTCAAATGCAAGAAGCCCTGTTCACAACCCAACATTAACATATTAAACATCATGGGAATCTTCAATCTAATCTTGAGCCTGTACAGCTGAATGTGCATGTGCAGGTGAAACATACACCAGATGTAGGTATCCAGGTGCAAGATGGATGGGAAGTATGGAAAACTGTATACACTGAAACTTTGAAATCTAATTTTCAGTCCTGATTTGAAAAAAAATATTCCCTTGAAAATGCAGCCGACAAAAGGAACAAAACCTTCTTATGAGGAAAAAAGTCTTCTTATTAACTAATTCACCCCTGAATTTTCATAATGAACTATTCCAACCTTGGAATTGGAAGAGTGCAAATGTGTCTTCAGGGGTGAATGAGTTAATGGAAGAAATCTTCACAATACCTCACAAGTATGTACAGGTGAGACATACCTGAGGAGGAGGATCCATGAAGTGGAACTGGAGCAGGTCCTGCACTCCCAGGGACTTTAGGAGGAGGACCACATTAGCCAGGTTCGTCCTCTGTATCTCGGGTACTGTGGCAGTCAGCATCTCATTCTTGTACTGTCGCTGGGTGTACAGACGATAGCAATGGCTGTAAGGCAACACAGGATATAAATGTTAAACATTGTCTACACATGATGTAATCAGGTACTAGAAATACTCTATAAAAGTGGGAAACTGTCCAAAAATACTTGGCTAAGCAATATTTTGTGAATGATATTGTGAATATCAAAATATGAAATTCAAATCACAAGAAAACTGTTAATAGATAATAGATACTACCCTGATTTTTGAATAGTCAAATATCTTATTTTACTGGATTTTTATGTGTAGCCTGTTTGACAAGCTATGAATGTTATTCATACAATAAGATTTTGCATCTCATTAAACGATACAGTAATATAGATAGGATAGGATAATTATATTGCCACCGGTAACTAATGGAGGGTGAAATAGTGTTACCACAGAGAAAGCACAATCGTCTGCTGGATAACGGAACTACTCGGTAGTGACGCGGACATAAAACCACTCAAACAAACAACCAAAAAGTGCTACCCATGTCTGTCCTCTTCAGTCCTGATTCAGACTCATCAATCTACGGACTTCATTACTGAACAGATTTTGATCAAACTTTATACAAAGGTCAAGTACACAATTACCTGATTTGAGTTTATAATTCAGGGCGCAAGGTCAAAGCCATCACAACTACTTATAGAAAAATCGTCAAATATTGAAACTAATTTTACATGATAAGTTTGACACCTTTATTATCGTACAAACATTTTCTAGATATGAAAAATTGTGAACTGTACTTACCCTGGGCCTGTTCTTCCAGCTCTGCCTGATCTCTGGTTAGCATTGGCCTACAAGTAGCAATCATGTAAAACAATGTAGAAAACTCACTGGGATATCAACATACAGTCTACAGTCGAAATTTGTTATATTTTGTGTTGTCGAGACAACAATTTAGAGACAGGTTGGGTATTGAGATGTCTGAGGGAAAAAAAGTGCTTTTATGAGCCAATTTTGAATAAGGAATCAATTCTGATATATAGAAGAGCTTGATAGTTGCAGATTGGTAATGGAATGTAAATCCCCAAAATAAGAAGATACATCAAAAATGTCAAAGAGGTATCGGAGCATATATTTACTGATGATGGAACAAGATCGTGTATCTACTGTTTTTGCTTCACTTTGTACTACCTGCATCAGGAGGTAGCTCACAAGTGCTAAAATAGTGTATTTTGTAACACTACTACCAGATAGCCAACTCAGGCAGATTGTCTGAGCATGTGGATAATATATTGAAATGGTTCAAAGAAAAAAAGGGGTGGGTATATTTGTACCAGTATATTGATCGATCAACCTAAATACCCTGGTGAACCTTTGCAGATGACAAAAAATAACTAATATTTTGCCTGACTTAAAATTCAAATTCTTTTTTATTTATTTTAAATGAAAAATTATTTTTCTTTTTTTATTTGTATACATCTTGAACTTATGTGCAAACAAGGGAAAAAATAGCCTGTGGGAACTATATGCAGGAAATTACGGTACATATGTATATCTATACAGTTTCTCCAGGTTGATAAGTATGGATTGTATAGGCTCATAAAGCACAACCAGCAAAGTATTTATTTGTGACAATTCAATGATGGGAAAATTTATGTACTCTGACATTTCAATGATGAGTAAGATTATGTACTGTGACATGTCAATGATGAGTAAGATTATGTACTCTGACATTTCAATGATGATTCTAACAATCCGACTAGTGAGAGACGGATCAGATTACGGATAGAGCCGAGCCTTTAATTATATAGAGGGCGTACGTATACGGATACATTGCCGCCAGCATGTATTAGCAGGCTAGGAACATCATACCCGGTTTCTCGGAGATCATAAAGATCAAGATCAAGATTATGTACTCTGACATTTCAATGATGAGTAAGATTATGTACTCTGACATGTCAATGATGAGTAAGATTATGTACTCTGTCACCTTCATCGGACAAATGACCGGTAAAGTGTATATACTGTACACTGGGAAGCTTTCGTCCAGTCAAATATTCGCTCTTCATTGATAAAATCTATTTTTGCCCAGTGTAAATTTCGCCCTTCACATATAATTACTATATATATAGGGTACACTGTGTTTTATTATTTGCTTTGATGATAAATTCCCCCTGGTTGTGGAGGACGAAAAAGGCGAAAACTAAACTGTAGTGAAAATTTCCCATTTAAGTTGCTGACAATAAAATCACCATCAATTTAATTAAGCTATAAGCGTATGTGCATTTAGTTGTTCTAAATGACCAGAATGACAGTCAAAATGATGAATCAACTTGGCTATGCTTTGTTCAACCCTTTCACCACTGTTGACTGCAATGGACTCATCCAGAACAATGCATGGTCGAGTTTACTAAAGTTAAATAGGGGTGAAAGGGTTAATACATAATTATGTATATTTACCTGACTGATGGGGTAGATTGACAGGGCGTCCATACCAATCTTAGGGTTGAATACTTTAAGTTTGCAGTATCCAGCATCCACCACAAACATAATACCATCAACTGGAAATACACAAAACAGTCATACACATCAGATACCCAATAGCAGGCAAAATGAATGATGCTATTTGGTAATTTTATACCAAAATTGAATTATCAATCTTCGCAATTTTATCCTGAAATTGAGTTACAAAATTTTGCAATTTGAATTTGACCAATCTAATTTCATATGTTGGAATTATCTGTTTTTGAGCGACTTTTAATTTGCTGGGAATATATGAAGGTGGCCTGCAATACTGAGATTCTATCGTCGTAGTGCCCTTGCTTTTGGTTCAGGCACTGTACCCCTTAATAACCTGAGGTTACAGTATTTTCACCTGGTAGGAAAAAGAGATGCTTTGTAACGAGACAGCATGGCAATAAACCTAATAAGCACATCTGTGTTTATAACAAGAATAAAGTGAGGAGGATCACATAGATATACCGCCACCCACCACCCTTCCATCCCAATTTACCTGTGACCTTTGACCCTTTAATCATGACCAATTTTAATCCTATGTGGGAGTCAATGTTAACATGCTATGGTGTAAGAATAAACAAAATCTGTTGAAGGGTTTGTGAGATATCCTGTACACAAGTTTCTACTTCAAAAGTGGTCAGGTGTGATCTTTTCCCATGACCTTCAACCCTTTAACCTTAACCAATGATCATTAAAATCTAACCAGGTTTAGAATTTGATATTACCGTAGTTATGATGATGTAAATATGACCTAAATTTGTTCCAGGGTTTATGAGATATCTTGTACACAAACATTTTACTACAGAATATACGTGTCTACTGTTTGTAAATAAAGGATATCCACGAAAGTTTGCACCACGAAACTATAGCTATCTAAATGGCTTCAAACCACAAAGGAAAGTAACTATGAACATTTCATGTTATACAGTATATCCATGGATGAATGGACACTGACAAAACGATTCCTTTATAAACCCCCTACCAAAACGGGGCATAACTACCTGCCAAACTTCTTGTATCAGTTACGTCACTTTACGTCCGTAAACACTTGCCGAAGTGTTTATACTTTTGTCTGTCCTTACCTGTGAGTGAAGTCTCCGCAATGTTCGTAGCAACCACACACTTTCTCACACCATCTGGAGCCTTCTGGAATATCTTGGCCTGAAGGTCACTCGGAAGTTGGGAGTAGATGGGCAGGATGGCTAATGGGGGAGCATCATCTAGCTCGCCGAGACGTTCTACAACAGGCCGACAACACAATAGGTATAACGACACCTATGGCTATATTCTTTCATCAGCTCAAGTTGAAAGTCAATTACCATGCCAGTAGCTTGGTTTTTCACTTTTCTAATATTTGTAGTTACATTATCTTACATATATTCATTGTACTAAAAATTGTGAATATCAATACTGTAGAATCATTTATTTTCGTGGGGTTAAAATTTCGTGGTTTTCATAGACTAGCCTGTTTCAAGGACATTATATGTTGCTAATTTCTGATTTTCCCCTATCTATACATACCAAATTTATGTTTTCGTGTATTACTGTTAACCACGATATAAACGAAATTTAATGTCCGACAAAAATTTATGATTTTACAGTACTGCATAACTTAGAACTTTTGACATTGTGACAACCTTCTCAAAATTTTGCATTCAGTAATTATAAACCGATATGAAAATACACTGTGAAAGGGTTTTGTCGCAGTCCATCATTTTTGCAGATTTATGAAACTATGCCAATTTGAGGGTTGTTTTTTTCATGGAAAAATCGTTTCAACGGAAATCCTTAAAATTAGAATCTTATGAAAAAGACAACCTGTACAGAATACACACTTAATGAAAATTTTGATCTTCTATAAAGCATTGGTGACATAAAACATTTTCATATTGCAAATAATGTGGAGACTCAAAACGTGGATATTTCCATTTATACAGTACATGGTGACAGTAGTAATATACACGTGTACATTCAAATACATCATCAATGATATATAACATAAGCCCTTCATTCTTAGATAGAACAAACATCTGAATTGTACTGGTTAATTATCACGACTCTGAGCCTTAATTGTACTGGTTAGTTATCACGACTCTGAGCCTTCATTGTACTGGTTAGTCATCACGACTCTGAGCCTAAATTGTACTGGTTAGTTATCACGACTCTGAGCCTTAATTGTACTGGTTAATTATCACGACTCTGAGCCTTCATTGTACTGGTTAGTTATCACGACTCTGAGCCTTCATTGTACCAGTTGGTTAGTTATCACGACTCTGACCCTTAATTGTACTGGTTAATTATCACGACTCTGAGCCTTAATTGTAGTGGTTAGTTATCACGACTCTGAGCCCTAATTGTACTGGATAGTTATCACGACTCTGAGCCCTAATTGGACTGGTTAGTTATCACGACTCTTAGCCTTCATTGTACCAGTTGGTTAGTTATCACCACTCTGACCCTTAATTGTACTGGTTAATTATCTCGGCTCTGAGCCTTAATTGTACTGGGTAGTTATCACGACTCTGAGCCCTAATTGGACTGGTTAGTTATCACGACTCGGAGCCTTAATTGTACTGGTTAGTTATCAGGACTCTGTGCCTTAATTGTACTGGTTAGTTATCAGGACTCTGTGCCTTAATTGTACTGGTTAGTTATCAGGACTCTGTGCCTTAATTGTACTGGTTAGTTATCACGACTCTGAGCCTTAATTGTACTGGTTAGTTATCACGACTCTGAGCCTTCTGGTTCTTCAGAAGAGTATCTTAACCAATTCTAGCCATGTAAACTTGAATATGGTGAAGTCATTTTTTTGGCACACTTGATAGTGGTCTATGCAAGTTACTGGCCAAATATTTCAATTCTAGGTCTTTTTGTTTTTCATGAGATATTTGAGTGCTTACTGTGCTATAAATGTTCAATATTGCACCGTGTATTGCAGAGTGGCCCCTAGTGGCCCCGTTTAAGATGGATTTCGTGTTTCCTTTGCAACCTTTGTAAAACGTGTACTAAGAGTTCTACAAGATTAATACCAAAACCATCACCAGACAGCTGGTTTGTTAAAAGATGCCAAAGGTTTTAGAGTATTTTTGTCCCTTTATGCCCCCCTGATGGAGCCAGTTTCATCATTACCTACAGACCAAGTGGTTCATGGGGAAAATGTCCCTCAAAGAGAGAGATAATAGACAGATGTTTAAGCCATGTGACTTAAAAAGCTAAGAGCCCCCTTTTTTACTCCTTTTCCTAGAACTAGTTGCTTTAAGGTCATCACAGATACAGATATATTGTAATTGATGTCATAATAACGAATACCTGATATAAGTTCACACGTCACTTCAATGTCTTCTTGTCCAGGCATGAAGATCAGTAAATCACCGTCCATGCCCTGCAGGTGGACCTGCATCGCCTGTTTTACGGCCGAATCCACGTAATCCTCGACCGTGTTTTTGCTGAAGAAGAGTTCCACAGGAAAGCATCTGCCAGGGATCTCAAAAACGGGCACATTGCCGAAGAAGCTTGCAAACTTGGTTGCATTCATTGTGGCAGAGGTAACAATCAACTTCAAATCATGACGCCTTGAAATGACCTGTAACACACAAAGAAAAGAAAATCCAAAATTAAAACACCAGGATTGTATTTGATTGGTTTAAAAATAAAAAGTGGACGACCTGCAACCAATCCTATTGAATGTAACGATAGACTTTGGAAAAAGCCAGAACAATGAAAGGAAAAAGAAGAGAAGCAGATCTGAAGCCTGATTCCCATAAAGTATATACTTATTTTGCCTGGCTGCAGACATGTTTGGGCTTGCTAGCCAAGACATTGTCACAAAGCAATATTCTTTGACTATTACATGATGACGTTTGAGTGACAATCATCATGTTGCAATTGGCCACCGAGCAAAATGAGAATATACTTTTTTGGAAACCAGACTCAAGGATTTGCTCCTCTGATTTTTCTAATTAATTTTTCCATTACTTTCAAGAGGGCTCTGTATACCATAAGGGGAAATTAAAAAAAAGCTTGCATTTCCGCTAACCCTGCCTACCCTGGATTTTTGTGCCTACCCTAAAGTTTTTATTGGCATTTAGTGATAAGCATTTTTAAAGTCAGATAATATATAATATATCTATATAAGTATAGTAAAAATATTTTAAATAAAATAATGACCTACATTTTAGCGTATTTTTCACTGAGGATATTAGAGGAAACAAATGTAATTTTATTTTTGGACTAAGGTGTCCTCTTGAAATTGAGAAGATAAACAGTAATATATGCCTGAAACTCTTGGACTTATTGGATGTTTGTCCTCGGGGATTTTTCCCTACTTCTTTTAAAGCAAGAATATATGATGCATATTGTAAAAGCAGCTGATAACAAAAGATGTATATTCCTATTCCCTTAATAGCTACCATTCCCCACTCCCACACGTCCTGCCCAATTTTGAGTGTGACCTACTTCTCGTAACAAGCCGAAAAGGACATCTGTGTTGAGCGATCTCTCGTGAGCTTCGTCCATGATAATGGCGCTGTAATGGTCCAAATCTGACTCCCGTAGTGACTCCCTCAGTAAGATACCATCTGTCATGTACTTAATTATGGTTTTCTGAAAGAAAAAAAGATGGTACAAATGTGTTAAAAGGAATTCCTCCAAAAATAATGACAATTTACTATCAGTATATCAGTAAAATACAACTACATGTATTACATAATAATAATAATAATTTGAGGTTCTTCTAGACCTCTTTATCACAACCTTGTTCGTGGGTCATCTCAAATTATTATCCATGGTTATAAAGCCTTTGCAACCAGCCAATATCTTTCTCAACTCACTGGGGAGCATACAGCTGGTGCTGCCGTTTCGCCGCTGACAGATAGTTGCATTCAACAGTTCTAGCTCTGCCCAACCACATACTCATTTACAGCTGAGTAGACTGGAAAATGCAGAGTAAAGTATCTTGCTTAAAGATACAACACAGTGCCGTGCTACGACTTGTCAGAGCGTATTATTTTTATGGAGATTTTAAGTGTTTATATATTTTGTTTCTGTAATCTGGCAGGCTGGTAATCGTGTGCATCTATTTCTGAATATATTTCAAGTAATAATATTAATCAAATCAGATTTCACAAAGTTCACAAGTATGAGGTTGAAAAAGCCAAAGTAATATAAACTAAAATGCAGGAAGCTTAAAACAAGCACTTGAGATACAGGAAAATGTGACATTACAGGAACACAGGAGCAGGTACATTCTTTTGAGTCATTCAACCTTCTATCCTATCAGAATCATAATATCAAAATGATATTTCAATAGAGTATACACTTTTCTTTAATTTGACATATGCTTTAAAATCATTAGTTTCAACATTTTCCACCATAATGTTGTTTCATTATGTATGCAAAATTAATGCACCGCAGTATGCAAAATTAATGGACAGCAGTACGCAAAGTTAATGGACAGCAGTATGCAAAATTAATGGACAGCAGTATGCAAAATTAATGGACAGCAGTACTAGTGTACTAACGTTGATTTTCAAATGTTTCACATGTTAAACATGATGAACTCCAACAATTCAGCATTATGTACTATGTCATTTCTGCATACTTCCTAGCTAGGGCTGTAACGATACGTAACATGATGATACGATACGTATCACGATACTGTGGTCACCATGAGATATCTATCACGATACATACAGTAACAGAAGAAGCAAAGAGAAAAGATAGGTTGCAAATTTCTAAATGGCAATGTTACAACAGGAAATAGACTGTGCATGACTGGAGCTGTCACTCGCCATGTGGGAACAGATTTGAGTAGAATAAATTCAGAAACGACAAAATACGGAAAATATTGTAGGTGTATCGTGACCTCTGACAAAATATTGTGTATCATACCGTATTCAAATTCATGTAATATATCGTCACACAATATATAGTTATATAACAGCCCCACTACTTACCTCAGTGGTACAATCCTCAAATCGTATGGCATATCCGACCTCCTCACCCAGCTTGCATTTTATCTCCTCAGAGACACGCTTGGCAACAGACATGGCGGCTACTCGACGAGGCTGTGTGCAGCCAACCATTCCGTAGTTGGTGTAGCCATCCTCATGAAGATACTGGAAACAAATATTCATTTCACTTCAGTAATAATTACCATAACTTTAGTATGCATAAACAATACCTACACCCATCTTTGAAGCCCAAAAACGAAAGATTCAAATATCCCTACCTCCCTACCGTGACGTAACCCATGTCTCGATGACAGAGCCACGGAGTGATCTCCCTTCCTTAAACCCCTTTTATGCAAACTAAAGTTATGGTTACTTCAAAAACCTCAAATTACTGACAGGGATTATCATCTTCCAAATCCAAAGGGTTCTGCTACTATTACTGTAACATGTATTATCTCTACCTGAATGGCGTGCTATAGTGCACCATGGTAAGTTTTTCTGCGACATTTGTTGCAGTTATACCAGTAGGTCTGCAACATCCATGCAGCTTATTGTTTATATTTTCATTTATATATTAAAATTGAATTAGGGTTGATACTTTTCCTTGCAATTTAATATTCCCTTTTGTTAATTACCAGCTGTCAATAACTAGAACAGCAACTGATGAACACCAGACGTCACATATTATTTCCCACAAAAATCAAAATATATTAGAAAGCTATCACATCTGATTTATTTGTTTTTATTTTAAAGAAAATAAATAATGTTTGACGTCCTACCTGAGTAAGTTGAGTGGTCTTTCCAGACCCGGTTTCTCCAACAATGATGATGATACTGTTATCACGAATCACGTTCAACAGCTGAAACAAGCATCCAGATATGAGATATGCATTAATCAGAAATACAATACAACTCATCAGTTCCTATTTTGTTTGTAAAATTGTAATATCTTTTCACAACTGTTTCAAATGTGAAAACCCATTTTTTATCTGCAATCACCAGTCAGCATAGGTGCCAGTCTCCAATGAGGGAGAACGTGCGTGAAACATGACTGAAACTGCTTTGCTAAATTTGTCTTTCCCTTTTTATGTATCAAAATAACTCCAAAAAGTATTCATCTGATTCACCTGTTATGATCATTCCTCACACACCCTGCAGTAACCAGGAGATCATTTGACCACAGGATGAAAATTTTGAGTTTGTGTGAGTTTGCACTTGAATGAGGGAGTTTCGAGGGAGATTGGTAAATGAGGGAGGGTTAACAGCTATATGAGTCAGAGACATAATATTTCACTAGGAGGCACCTAATCTCTTAAACATTCGTATCTGAATTTAAATCACACAATATATATTTTTTAAATCTGGCTTCCAACTCTATCAGTTGTATAATTTATATAATATATATAATGTATATATATGTTTTCAAGATGATAAAGATTTCATCAAACTATTGCCTAATAAACTAAATTGTTCAATATGTTAGGTTTTGACATACTAATGGACAGCAGAAATAATAATTATGAGAAACTATCATAAATTATGTACCAGTATACCAACAGTTGTTTCATGTAATAATACATCTAGGAGAAAGATTTTATATATATACAGTTGTATTATTGATTTTTTTTCTCAAATAGTTCATGCTAAATATTGAACAAATACAAAGGCAAACATATTTTCGTACCTCATTTCGAACTGCGTATATGGGCAGAAATTTCCTCTGTTCTGACAGTGTTTTTGCCTTGGCAAAGTCGCTGACTGCTTCAGTTTTATCTTGTAATAGATCTGCAAACTTGTGGTCAGTTTTATAATCTAGTTCCCCTTTCGCATCCAGCTTGTCTCCCTAAAGGCACAAATAATCCATAAAATATGATTGAAAAAAATAAAGAAAAATCAAAAGCACAAATAATCCATAAAATATGATTAAAAGAATATATTAAATTTTGTATCGGTGATATAAGAGTTAAAGTAAGAAATATATACGCGTAAATTCATTTTCAGAAAATTAATATTTGTGTATTTTGCAACTCTTCAGAATATACCTGAATTTAAGCATTATACAACATTTACCAGGTTTTGTGGAAACTTACAGAAATTTATAAATAAGCAGGGAAGATTTTGTCGAGAAAAGTATAAAGCAAGAGAGATAGATGAACAAAAAGATGAATGAAATATTATCTTTGATTTTGCGTGAAATGGAGAAAACTATATAATATTTTCTGGTAGTACCACTGATTTTTAACAATGACAATCTAAATTCCTTGTTTGTATTTAAAACTCATACAATATCAGAGATATTAATTTTCTTACATTTAGATTCCATAGTTTTATTATCGGTTTACATGTTTCTACTCGCTAGGCTAGCTGTCATCAGAACCAGTTCAATAAAATTCAACAAAACACATTCAATAATGTAAGATTTTTACATGATCTACTCCAGAGCATAAATCAAACAGACAAAAAAACATGCACATTTCTAAAAATAAGAATTCATCCAAACAGCTACTAAATAACATACCTCCTCTTCTTTCTTCTTTACCCCCATGATATCTCCAATCCTTGTGCCCGCTACTTCCCAGTGTTTCTGCTGAGCTTTCCGTTTTTCCTTCTGTTCCCTGAACTTTCTGACAACCAAGCTTCCCTTTCTGGCCACTTGAGCTAAATCTGATGTCGGGTCCTTATAAGTAAATAAAAATGTGCAATCACAGAGAATTGTTATTTAATATGTGAGGGTGATTCTGCATGCTTCCAATTCAAAGCATACAACAAAATATATATATACCCCTCTGGGCAAGAAATATCATGTCAATACACTTACTTAACCTTTTCACCACTGTGGACCATAATGGATGCATCCCAATAAATGCATGGAAGAGTCCACGAAAATTACCTAGGGGTGAAAGGGCTAAACAGACATCTTTGAGTTGCTATTTTCATTGAAATAATTAGAGCTCAAAATATATGAATACTTTTAAAAGCAAATTCACTGGTTTGAAATATTAAACTAGGGGTCAAAAATTGTGATCCTCCCTCTGAAATTGTGAGAGCTGGCAAATAAAATCAAAAAAATTGCATATCATAAATGAGGCTGTATTTCATTTCACTGCTTTCAAAGTGAAAATGAAGGGTAAGTGTTTGCATGGCTATATCTTTGACATAGTATAATACTAATGTATTAATTTCTCCCACCAAAACCAAAGGTTTCTTCACTCCCTCCCACAAACACCAAAGGTTTCTTCACTCCCTCCCACAAACACCAAAGGTTTCTTCACTCCCTCCCACAAACACCAAAGGTTTCTTCACTCCTTACTCATTGGATAAACATGCTATAGATTGGTAAACATTTTTGGTTACCCACTATTGGGTAACACCCTGGATGCGAGTGATTTCATTGGTCCATCTTCTGTTTATGACGACAAGTAACAATGCATTGCGACGTCATCTTCCATCATGACGTCATATAGTTTGTGGCAATTATTTCCCCGATAATTTATTCCCAAGAGAAACACAATTTTATAGATATAATATCAGAATGTTGTTGGTGAAGAAAGGTCCCCAAACTCCATCCTCTATATCCAGGGGTTACGCTCACTTTCACTCTCTGCACCCTTGGAATATGAAGGCTCGTTGTGCGCCACCTTGTTGATGAGACAAGAAGACTAATTCGATACTTTGATGTACATCAAAAGAATATCGCGGTCACGTAATGGTAAACATTGACAGGCTTTGCATATGGGCGTCTCTTCTTTGTAATCTTCAAAGGACAGGTATCAGCCTAGTGATTGGTCAGGTTTTTTTTTAACTGAGACCAATCAAACAGCTATCTTTGTGCCTTCAATTTTGCCATGACATATTCCAGGGGTGCAGAGAGCGAAAGTGAGCGTAACCCCTGGAGTATCGAGGATGCCCAAACTCATGATGGTTGGTTATCGTGTTTATCAAACTCTCGTTAGTTATTTTACAAATTGTAAAAGACACTCAGTAAACCATGTGTCTTTATACAATTTAAAAATTAACCAACTTGAGTAAAATAAACATGCTAACCAACCATCCCCTTGAATGGGAACCTCTTTGTAACTACACAACTGAAGGCATTTTTGTGAGGAAATATTACCAGATAAGCGGGGAATTATATTGAATAGCCCCATCCATTTAAAATGGTGCTCAGCCTGGTTATAAATTGTGACCTCATTAGGATACAGTGCAAAAAATGATTATCCCAATACCCACATTATCTTTGCAATACCGTATTTATCCAGCAATAAGCCCATACTTGGTAATAAGCCCACCAATATATATTGCAGTTAGAAAGAAATGTCAACAGATATTATTTTCCTGTCCTGTAATAAGTCCATCCTCCTACTTTCAGTCAGAGATTCTGTGATAGCTTCCTGGGCTTATTGCAGGATAAATATGGTGACATTTTTGCCTACATGCTTCAAAGATGTAACAAAAAGTTTTTAATAACATTTTGAACTCATGAAAAAAAATGGTATTCTACCATAATTATTGAATATATGTGGTACATAATTATTCCACTCGAAACTATTTAATGTCATATACATATATTTGATATCTCTGTAATAAATTTTTTAATATTATATTTTTTTGTATAGTACTTACCTTAACAGGAACGACTGGCTCTGGTTGTTTGGTGAAAACAATACGTCCATCAAGAAATGGTGGCACAATGTTATGGACTAGAAGATGCACTTTCGCTTCGTTTTCATCATCAAAATCCTCGTCATAATCAGTCTTTGTGATAACTCCACTTCTAAGCATTCTGTTTGTTTCCCACAACTCAATGTCCTGAGTAAAACAAAAATCCAGTTTGAAAAGACAACAAAATTCCCAAAAAGTTAGGCCAAAACAATTATGTATGTTTCAGGTACCCGACCGATTCTAGTTTTTACCTTGACTCCAACAATTTTATCTCACTCGAATGCATTTAAACCTCGAATTCCAACACACCAGTAATTGCAAGTGTCTTTATGACACATCTTTATTCTATAGGCAGGTATCAAAATCAAATTCAAATTCCATATTATTACTTTAAAGACCGAAACACATTAACGAATAATGAATACAATTGGTCGGAAAAACTATGTTCCGTGATTTTTGTAATTCCTTAAATCAGCCTCCCTTTAAAAAGAAAAAAAATATACAGATAAATCCCTATCGACCTACCCTATTTTTTTCAGTTATTTCACTTTATTTATTTTGTACATGAACAGGCAAACATTTGTATCTACAAGTTATAAATCTCTATAATTCTCTGTTATTTCATTGTTCATGGCTATGAACATGTACTTCAACTGAGATATAGTGCACGCCTGCGATACCTTATTTATCTAAGATTTTTCATGATTTACTTCAACAGATTTGATTGCACAGTCATGTGACAAGGTTCAAATACTGGTCTTACCTTTATGCCAAATCTCCAATTTTTACTGATTGATTGAAGTTAATTTACCCTCAATTTTTTATTTAATATTAACAAAATTCCAAATATCTTCCTTTTTGCTAAATGCAAATATTTTTGCATATGGCAATTAAACTATGGCATAAATATGGCATGCCAAAAATATATTTTTAAATATATCTTGTCAAGAGTCTTACCCCTTATTCTACACCTGTTTTCATATCCGTATATATACATATATGGTATGACTCTGTTAGCTGTCTATGACTGGCTGAGTGGAGATTTTGTATACAAATAGGGACCGGTCCTAGAATTTGTAATTGATCATCATGATAGGTGGATTTATTCAAGCTAAAGTGCAATATCTTGTGCTTGTTCCATGGGTTTTTAGATAAGAAATAATTTTACCACTCTATGGCATTGTCACTATATAATCCCATAAAGTTAGGATGACATTCATATCAGCTGTGTATGCCATGGCCCAATTGTAGATGTCATCATTAGTATGACATCATAACTGTAAGTTTGGTAACCACTGACCCCCCCCCCCCCTCCAAGATGTCTGTTCTATCAATGAATTAAACAAGCATACACATATTTGAACTTAATACTAAATGTGATATATACATTTGATTATCTATGAGATAAAAATAATCTTAAAATGGTGAATAGTTTTCGACTATGAGTATGAAGGTCAACTGAAATCATTTCAACGCTGAACTGATCACCTCCGTCAGCCATAGGTACGAACCTTATTGATCTGTCTTTGTCTAGCAGTCATCCTTTTTTTCTTCTTTTTTTCCATCTCCTCTTCCTTCTTGCGTGTGTACTCCTCTGAAGTGCCGGAAAAGGGGTTGTTGTCATCATCGTATCCTTCATCCATGTTGTACCACTCACGGTCAAGCCTCTTCTGTTCACGCTCCCAATCCAGCCTATCCTCCTCCGACTCAAATTCAATATCACGACGGCCATCTATAAATGGTTAAATGACAGAAACACGGTTAAATGACAGAGTCATATAGCTAACTATACCCTTATTTGTGTAAAGGATATTGTAAATTCTTACCAAGTTAGACAGCTTTATGTTGTTTTTTATTGCTTTGGTTAAAAAATTTAAATAACATCTGTAGCATATTTGACCTTGAAAGCGCCTATTTTTTTTCTGGTCCGAGAGTACCATCGTTTATTATGGATAGTTTTTGAGAACTTTGGAGGTCTCTGCAATCATTTTAACTTTCCAAAATTGCAAAAAATAAAAATCTCTCACAAGTGTTAGTAGCTACTGATGTGCAGTTGGCAAGTCTTGCAGGTGTTTTAATTTTGCTATATTTTTTACGTCATCCTCACTACTCCATTGTTACGCTCACTAACACCCCCTGCACCCCTGGAATATGTCATAGGAAAATTAAAGGCTCAGTGTGCGCCACATAGTTGATGAGGCAAGAAGACTCGTTCGATCCTTTCATGTACATCAAAAGAATCTAACAGCAGCGTTACAGTAAAAATGTACTGGCTTCGAAGTATGGTGTCGCTCTTCTGTAATCTTCAAAGGACAGGTATCAGCCTGGCGATTGGTCAGGTTGATTTTTCACCCGAGACCAATCCGTTTTCTTTGTGCCTTCAATTTTGCTATGACATATTCCAGGGTTGCAGAGAATGTAAGTGAGCGTAACCCCTGAGTATTGAGGACGTATTTGCAGTTACCAAAGAAAGCATGAAATCAACAAGAGGTCCAATTGGCCTGAATCGCTCACATGGTATTAATATCACACTTGTAATCTTAAGAGTGGATTAATATACAGCTACAGGCAAAATATCTGTGTTCGATCCATTTGAATCTATTAAATGATTTAAACATATGACGCCTGCGACCTTGAAAGTTTATAGCCTTCCGTTCCGGCATATTTCTGGCATATTTGATCCCTGTGACCTTGAATATGAGCAAAGGTCATTCATTTGAACAAACTTGATAGCCCTTCATCCCAGCATGTTAATGGCCAAATATCATCATCCAAGGCCTTTTGGTTATTGAGAAGAAGTTGTTTAAAGTTTTTAAACATATTTGACCCCTGTGACCTTGAAAATAGATGAAGGTAATTCATTTGAATAAAGTTGGTAGCCCTTCATCCCAGCATGTTACTGGCCAAATGTCATTAGCCTATGCCTCTTGGATATTGAAGAGAAGTTATTTAAAGGTTTTAAACATATTTGACCCCTGTGACCTTAAAAATAGGTGAAGGTCGTTTGTTTAAACAAACTTGGGTAGCCCTTCATCTGAGCATGATACTGGTCAAATATCATTGTTCTAGGCCTCTTGGGTATTCAGGAGAAGTTGTGTAAAGGTTTTAAACATATTTGACCCCTGTGACCTTTACTATAAGTCAAGGTCATTCATTTGAACAAACTTGGTAGCCCTCTATTACAGCATGCTACTGGTCAAATAGCATCATCCTAGGCCTCTTGGTTATTGAGAAGAAGTTGTTTAAAGGTTTTAAACATATTTGACCCCTGTGACCTTGAATATAGGTAAAGGTCATTCATTTTAACAAAACCTAGTAGCCCTTTAGCCTAGCATGTTACTGCCTAAATATCATTATCCTAGGCCTCTAAGGTATTCAGAAGAAGTTGTTGGTCATTTATTTGAACAAACTTGGTAGCCCTTCATTCAAGTATGCTACTGCCCAAATATCATCACCCTGGGAATTTTGGTTATTCAGAAGAAGTTGTTTAAAGTTTTTAATATATTTGACCCCTGTGACCTTGAAAATATATGAAGGTCATTTATTTGAACAAACTTGGTAGCCCTTCATCCCATTTCGCTTCTGGCCAAATATCATCACCCTAGGCCTTTCGGTTATTAAGAAGAAGTCATTTAAAGTAAAATATTGACGCCAGACCACGGCATAAGCTCACTTGGCACTTCGTGCCAGGTGAGCTTAAAACCCATTGAATGTAAATACCCAGCGAATATACGGAGATACAAGAAAACACACCTTTTAACTGCCAAAAATGGAAAGATAAAACACCAATTCAATATCGTAATTTATGTTATTTTGATAAAACACTTGTAAAAGAAATCCTATCAACCATATACAAAAGTACCATCTTGAGCGCAATAATTTTACCTGGCAATGTTGTGCGAAAAATCTCCATGAACTAGTTTTGCTATGGACAAATGCAAAATATTAACCCCACTAAATTAAACAAGTGTACAGTATGTATAAGGGCCTACCTGTGTCTCTCCTGCTGCCACCATCCTTTGGTGTATACTGTATCCTCTTCTTGTTGTCCATCCAGTCGTTGTACTTGAAAGTCGGGGTTGGTAGTGGAGTCTCTTTAGGACCTCGCTTGCTTCTGTTTTGAAAAAGTTCAGGGATATTTGTTACAGCGAATATAACTAAACAACATAAGAAACATAGTAATTGAATATTAAGGGCAAAATTAACACTGGATTAGTGATTTCATGGGTGAAGGGCGAAAGTTTAATCAGACGAAAATTTCCTGGTATACCGTATATAGAGGGTTCTCAAAATGTGTTTGATTCTCGCAAGAAAATCATGAGTCGAGAACTTACGTCTGTCCTAAGAACTTGTCAAAATCTTTGTAAATAAACAAAAGAATAATACACTTAGTTTACAAAGCAAACACTACAGGAATTCAGATAGTAATTTGGTTAGAGGCAGCCTTGAAATTCCAGGGGCTATGCTCACTTACGTTCTCGTTTTCTGCACCCCTGGGATATGTCATGTCAGACGAAATAGAAGACTCTATACACCACATTATGGATGATACATGTGAACAAGTTTGATCCTTTGATGTACATCAAAAGAATCTGTCAGTCATGTAACAGTAAAATTGACTGGCTTTGAAGTCTTTTAATCTTCAAAGGACATTCAACATCTTAGCGATTGGTAAGTTTTTTGTTTTTTAACCGAAACCAATTAAACTGCTAACAGTGTGCCTCCAAATTTCTCACAAGATATTCCAGAGGTGCAAAGAATATTAGTGAGTGCATGTGTAACCTCTGAAATTCAGAGGATGCGGTAGAGGAAGAAGACCCCTACCTCTTATCGAAGGATGAGCGATTGCTCCGGACACTGTTCTCGTTGTCACTGCTAGTGTTTGACCTAGGTGTCAGGAGATCCCAAGAGGATCGCTTGAGGGGCGTCACGTCATCATCATCCCAACCATACACAGAAGGAGTGTCTGCCAAATTCAAGGTATGTTATATCAGTTATCAATCCTACTACAATATCCATGTCTACAAAATCTTTTTTGCTGTTGTTTCATAACTTTTGAAGATAGAAAATCTGTGAAATACTTAGAGATCACATTTTTTGGCAAATTGATTTTGTGGATTTATGTTTAAATGGATTGCCAAATGAAATTGAGGAACTGGCCTAACTTTATTAATGTTTTCAAAGATGTTGACCCTGGAATCCCAAGGTCCTTAAAAATGGAAGTTGTTTTCTCAATTTGCTAAATATTCAGCATTTAGGATACCAGAGAACGGGACAATTGGAGAACTGCATGTGCTTGGTGCCTTTGGCATGTTATTTCAGTTAGGTAACACTCAAAAATCAGCATCAGATTTGCAAAGAGGCAAATACACCAATATACAATATAATAGGCTGGAATGTATGAAAGTTTTACTTTATACATGTAATTATGTATCAAATGTATTGCAAGGACTGGCTTCTCCCTTTGTCAAGCTATACTGAAAAGTTGCTGCTGGAATGCATGTCGCAACAGGTTTACCTTTGCCGCCAAAGTCAGGAGTTGGAGGTGCATCTCTGAACCTCTCTGGAGTCTCTTCCCATTCTCTGTAGCTACAACGACTCCTCTCTGAGTCACGGTCACTTCGATGACTCCGATCACTACGCTCACTTCTGTCATCCCTTCTTGGTCTGCGATCTTTCAAATAATTACAATATAGAGGTGTTTGAATACTTGTTTATGAAATAATTGAATACAATTTAAGTAAGTAACCTTGTGTATATATATCTTTAAATTGAAAAAAACATAAAGTCAACATTTTCCTTCTTTAACTAAGCAAAAAAAAAAGAAAGTTTATAATGATATGGTCAAAGGTTGGACCCCGCTTAATATAAAAAAAAATCTACTGTGAATGGATTTCATGAGGTAACAAGAGGCCCATGGGCCTTAACGGTCACCTGATATATGTATACAGAGAGTTGATTTTGTTTTTAACATGTACAGAAATATTATTCAAAGTGACAAAAAACAATAAAACCACCTTATTAAATATCTAGCATACAGATTTAAGACTAAAAAGTATTTGAAACTAGCACCTCTGATTCTAAACAAGGAAAATGAAGAATTTTTAGCACACTGACTCCTTTGGGCCCCACCCTACAGCCCTTGGGGGTAGGGCTGGCTCAAAATTTTCAAACTATCAAACTGTCAACTCAAGGTTATAATTCCAATCAAGTTATTAACATGAAATATTCAAAGTATCATTTGCCATTATAAACCATAATAAATTTTGCGGTCTCCCCCCTCCTTCCCCAGGGTGTAAACGTGAGCCTAGGGTCATAAACCTTAAGACCCTTTCATCTATGAAGAGTGTTTGATTCTACCATATCTTGGTCTTGAGAAGAAGATTTTTGCAATTTCAGTCAATTCAACCCTTTTTGGCCCCATCCATCAGCCCCTGGGGGGTCAGTCAGGGCTGATGTGTGCATACTATCAAACTGCTACCTAATACTGATAATGCTAACCTAAATTGAATTACTTCCAATGGAAATTAAACAAATGTTGGTCCAAAATGTGATTTCCCTATATAAACTATAGTAAAGTTTACCTCCTCCCCAGGGGAGAAACGTGATACCCCAGGGTCATGAAATTCACAATTTTGGTAAAGCACCTTAAGACCCTTCCATCTATGAAGAGTATTTGATTCTACCATATCTGGGTCTTGAGAAGAAGATTTTTGAAATTTCAGTCAATTCAACCCTTTTTGGCCCCACCCATCAGCCCCTGGGGGTCAGTCAGGGCTCATAGGTGCATACTATCAAACTGCTACCTAATACTGATAATGCTAACCCAAATTGAATTACTTCCAATGGAAATTAAACAAATGTTGGTCCAAAATGTGATTTCCTTATATAAACTATAGTAAAGTTTACCCCCTCCTCAGGGGAAAACGTGAGACCCCAGGGTCAAGAAATTCACAATTTTGGTAAATCACCTTAAGACCCTTCCATCTAAGAAGAGTATTTGATTTTACCATATCTGGGTCTTGAGAAGAAGATTTTTGAAATTTTAGTCAATTCGACCCTTTTTGGTCCCGCCCCTCAGGCCCCTGGGGGATTGGGACTAAACCGGCAACTATTTTTGTTGACCTTTGTCCATGGAAGGTTCCTGCAAAATCTCATTGAAATTGGTTCTGTGGTTTTGGAGAAGAAGTCGAAAATGTAAATTGTTTACGGACGCACGCCGGACGCCGGCGGACAAAAGGCGATCGCAATAGGTCACTTGAAACTTTGTCCCAGGTGACCTAAAAACTCAGGTAAGTTGTCCGTGTCTGTCACCTGGACAATAGGTCCGGCTAATTACTGTACATTCTGATTGTAGTTTCAAGATCAAGTATTCAGACCTGTACAGACCAAAGTTCTTAACAATGGATTAAGTATCTCTTTTTACTCTCTCAAAGGAATGCATGTTTACAGACAGTAATTATAGGACAGACATGGTAACAACATTCACATGATATTCTGTTGATGTATCCAGCGAAGATACAGACTGACTTTCTGACTCTTTTTAGTTTATTACCTTCTTTTTCAGTCTAAGAAAGCGTGAAAACATTAATTTGTTGCCATGGCACACCAATTAAGGACAAATTTTCAAATTTTCAATTTTCAAAAAAATGCACAAATTGCGCATGATGCAACTTCTTCCCTATCTCTGAGTTCTAGAGATAAAATTCAGGTTGAAGGTTAACAGTTTCAAAAAGACAAATATAATCACTTATGCAATTAGTTAGTTTACTATTCTATAGAAAAAGCTTGCAAAAAAACATGGAAAACTTGTTGTGAATTGTAATTTCTGTGATAGACAATCTATACAAGAAAGAGTGCTATATAACAAATGCCAACAAAGATGGAATTTTTATGAATTAAATGGTCTTATTGCTTGGGAGAAGAAATGGAAACAAAGATCTGCTACAGAAAATATCCCCATTTGTTGTATATACATTTGTACCTTTGTCCCTATATCTATGGCGATCTCGGTCTCTGCTATGTCTGTCTTCCCTCCGCTCCCTTCTGTCTTTGTCTTTGGATGAACTAGAGGCATACACTCCTCGGTCTCTGTGTCGTTGCTTTTGTCTGTCTTTAGCCTCCCTGCTCACACCTCCTGGGTGTGATGGCGTCTCAATTTTAGACTGACGGTAATTTCTGCAAAGAAATAAAAGCAAAATAATGAAAAAGTTTCCTGAAGGGTATAAAAGTTGTTAATCTCCTACAGAATACAACCCAGATGCCTGTCTTTGACATGAAAAGGCATTGAGGAAGCGACCCCCCCCCCCCCCCCCCCCCCCGAGTCAAAAATAGGGAAAATATACATTTTATGGTAACAAAACCTCTGGGCTAGGCAGAAGGAAACAAAATAGATCTTTAGTAGTAAAAGCATCATCTTTCTTCCTTCTTTCTTCCTTCTTTCTCCCTTCTTTCTTGCAAATTGCTTACTCTTTCTTTTTAGATCTCACAAGATACATGTACCTCTAGTTAACCTATTGTCAGAATGTGAGCGAGTGCACTGGTGCATCATGCTAATGTGTAAAGGGTGTCAAAATGCACTTGGACTGTATATATATACCTATTACATGTACAACATATTGCATTGCAATACAGAAGAAGGTGTCCCAAAATATTGCCACAGGGAAACAGTGCTCAATTCAAAAAGAACTTCTTGTTAGAATGTTATCAAACAGAATCATATACTGGACCTGGTACCTATACAGATTTAAAATTTTCGTTTTAAAGCCAAACACCAACTATGAAATTTCAACTGATTTCAATCAGTAGTAACAGAGCCTGTATATGGTTATTGGCATATGTATCTGTGAGAATGTGTTGTAATTTGCAACGCTAAAGCACCTACAATGTAGCAATATAAGTATGTTTATCACATGCTTGCCAACTCAAGATCTCCCTATTTTGGAGGAAGACTCATGATCTTGGATCCTTACATTGATTTGAATATTTCTAACCAGTCAATTTGGTGAAACTGTACCTACTTTCTAAGATCTGATGATTTCATCTGAAAGAACCATTCAAATGTGTTGTTTCTAAGGGTTATTTAATTTGGATCCTATGGGGTATATACTGCACATTCTGTTTATGTTTTTGATTCTGAACATACAGAATCTCCCCCATGGAAATTTCTAAAGGTTAAATTGGCAAATACGGCTTCATATATATATCAAGTAAAAGTTTGTGAAAATATTGCATCACAACAATATTTTTATTTCTGTATTGTGGAACAGGAGAGGAAACATGCATGGCCAGACCAGGGTTCGAACCCGGGACCTTCCAAACTCTAGACGAACGCTCTACCAATTGAGGTATCTGGTCACCAACGATTGACCCTGTCCAGTTCCGCTACATTCCTCCCTCCTTTCTCCAAGTTTTCGCCCCCAAAGTCACAACAATTTACAACCTAGGTTCAGGTATCCCCTTGCCAAGCATACTAGGCACCACTGTAACAGGAGAGGAAAAATGCACAGCCAGATCGGGGTTCGAGCCAGGGACCTTCCGAACTCTAACAGACGCTCTACCAAAGGAGCCATCTGGTCGCCGACGATCGACCCAGTCTAGTTTTGCTACAATTGTGATACGATACACATGTCTGTATATTGTGATATACAGGTTTTCTTATAGATTATTGTGACAGTCCTACAACTTACATATATATGTGTTCATGACCATGCATTTTATTATTATGAGATTTCAGTGAGATGGCACATCTACAGTAACCGTTTTCATATGACCTTGGTTGTCAAAAGGGTGAAGACATGTGACCCAATTGATCCCGGGACATATTACAATGTATACTCTACCTGTCTTTATGACCTTTGTGCTTTTTAGACCTGTCATTATTTTCATCAGGTTCATCATCACTATCACTGTCATCGTCGTCTTGATAAGACATTATTCTAGATTTTTTCCTCTGATCCTCTTCCGACGCATCTCCCAGACGTTTAGCAGCTGCTAATCTATCCAAACCTAACAGAGATACCCTTGGGCTTGATATTTCTGGTTTTGTAAATTCATGATTCGATTTTTTCTTTTTGATAATTAGTCCTCCTTTCTCTCTCCCAGTTGACCCCTCTAATCTGTGTAACGACGGGTCGTCATCGGGTTCAACAATTTCTGACATGTTCGTTAATTCGTGTTATTCCATTCTGAGAATATTCATCGAGCAGATGTTGATCAGAGCGGTGTAAAACCCGTACTGTATAATACACACTGTTGCAAGCAGACGAATTTCGAAGATTTACATTGTGGTACAGAGCTATTCCTACCCAACTCAACACAATTGGACACTTGTACAATTTCTTAAGAATCTGGTTATGAAAGTGTACAGTAAAACAACGAAATAGACGTGATAAAAATCAATAAACCCTCTACAATCACACCACAGACTTTCTGTTTTTAAACGTATTTCCCTCGTCCATATATAAAACCGGAAGCACATTGATTTCTCTTTATTTATAACGCCACTGTTTCGCAAAAAAATAAGTTTAACGTGAAAATACAAACATATGATAGATATTGATTAAAATAAAGTAAACACGTGAATAATTAAAATAAAGAAGCAATTATAAACACTATTTTTTAACTTTATCACAAACATCTGTATCCAATGCTAGCTCAGCATGTGTGTAGCAACAAAAGCGTCAAAATGGCGGACACCTTGCTCGTTCGGGCACTGAAAGGAAAACCAAAGACTCTGAACCTCTGTAACAAAAAATTACACAAAGTACCAAGAGCTATAGGGAAATTGGATTGTGTTTTACATCTTCAGCTGCGAGGAAACAAACTGAAAGATCTGCCAAATGAATTAAGTCACCTCTTTCAGGTATTATGATTCACAGCCCTACTCAGTAGTGTCAGTACTCCCAACAATTTTAGGTCAATATGACGGAATATTTTTCTCCAGGTTGTTAAGAAATACGATACAGTCTTCCGGATACATATCTTAAAGCAGTTATCACAGTCACTTATTTGTAGTAAATGCTAAAATAATGATGATATTATTTAGATACTTGTAGTACTAGTAGGAAAGAAAAACAAAGTCCTGAACAATGAAACCATGTACCACCATATTAAGTTGGGCACCAAATGTTACAGAAAAGGGAATAAAAAATATAACAATCAGACTGGTATTAGCATCTATGACCCCAAACTCTAGATGTTCTAACGTATTTGTTGTTATATACCTCTGGTTGCTGGTGACATTGCTGTGATCAACACAATCAAGTCCCGCTACACGATTATATATCTATTAGCACAGAACTAGATTACATCTATCTGATTTTGTGAATCAACTTACTAGCCTACATAATAGACGACAAAACCAAAATTTAAAATATATATATACTTGGTAATCAACAATTGATTTATTTGAATAATTAGCATTCTTGAAGTGAAGAAAGTTAATGAGGAATGCTACAACCAACACCAGCAGTAAAATACATTGTTGCAATGGGGTTATTAGATTAAGTTATTTAAGCAATAATTAGTAAGATAATTGGATTTCCTTTGTGATGAATGACAAATCCTTGACAGAAATGAGTTCTTGAATTATTGAAATTATTTTAGACCATAAAGTTTTATTAAATATTAATAAGATGTTTTTCATATATATATTATACTTCAAACAATTTAAACTTGTGACCTAAATTTTTTATATGAAATTTATAATATGTGCAAGTCAACCAACAAATGTAGTAAAAAAATGTAATTTCAGAAGTATAGGGTACTGTGGTTGTATAAATATTATTGTAAAATTTTATGATGGTTTATGTCCCATAACTGATAGATATTACAGAAATCTGTTATTTAATTTATTTTTTGCATATTTTGGTCACAGTCTATAATTAGTTATAAGTTAACAACCCCTTCCCCCCCCCACCCCCNTTTGAAAATTTTGATTGGAAATTAATGAATAATAAACCTATCTCACCATGTACATACTTGAATGTGTGTTGTTTTATTGAAAATTTGATTATAACTGTATCTTGAAATTTATCTTCAGTTGCAGATTTTGAATTTAGGCAACAATGAATTAGAAGATTTACCAGATGTGATTGAATACCTGACCATGCTGGAGAAACTCCATTTATTCAACAACAACATACAGAACTTGTCGCCTAAAGTATTAAGTAAGTATACAAAGGTGCTAAAGATGAAAGTCGATAATTATGATGACTGCCATGCAAAATCAAGGTGTTAGCGCAAATTTCTATTTCATTTATTTGATGACTTTGTACATTTTGACAAAATAGAGAAAAATATTAAAATGTACACATCTTTCACTTCAATAAGGACAGAATCTGAACTTATTACGATTGGAACTGAGGAGATACCGCATCATATTTGCTAAACTTGCTTTATACATTAGTTTTATAATCTTGGACTAATTAAGGTACTATTTTATGTTATGGAAGAATCAAAGACAAAGGTTATTTTTGGAAATAAAACTCTCTTTTGTTGTCAATTTTTTGTTGTTCAAAACAAGAAAAATAAATATGTGAAAATAAACAAACAGATACTACATTTTTGTATATATAGTTGTTTAAGTTTGCGGGGCTAATATTTTGCGGTTGTCCCAATCAGAACTGGTTCACGGGAATTAAATGTCTTGCAGCATGTCTACATAGGTATAGATATCGCTTTCATGATCATACTTTTGTATTTGGGTGATGAAATTTATTTTACAAGTGTTTTGTGAAAATGAAGTAAAATGTGATATTGAGTATTGTTTTATCTTCATTATTTGGCTGTAACAGTCATTATCAACAGATTGTTTCTAGGTTTTACTCACCCTTATAACATGTCATGAATAAGATTTAAGTCTGTACCATATGTAATGATAAAAAAAACAGAAGACTGCATAATCGTTTTCAAAATAAATTTTAATAGTATATATATACTGGCATGTTACATTTTTATGTATTTTCTATTTTAATTGTTAATTGTTTTATGAAAATGGAAAAATTCACAGTACAGTATTACCATATAAAGTATGAAATATTTATTTTCTTACATTTTACTTTTTTTTATAGCAAATCTAAGGAATCTTACATTTTTGAATTTGAACTCAAATCAGTTGAAAACATTTCCTCCAGAAATATGCAGGTAAGATTACTCATTTAACATTTATTGATATATATTTAGTATTTATGAATTACCAGGGCCACGGTGGCCAAGTGGTTAAGGTGTCTGACATTCTGCTACCACTAGCCCTGCGCCACTGGGGCGCGGGTTCGAGGCCTACACGGGGCATTCACCCGGTACTGGCCGTAGGTCTGTGTTTTTTCTCTCGAAACTCAGGCTTTCCTCCACCACCAAAATCTGGCACATCCTTAAAAGACCATGCATGGCTGTTAATAGGGCGTAAAAAGCAAATAAACCAAATAAACCAAACCATTCTCCCACAACCACTTAATGTTGTTTTCTCACTCCTGACTCAATGGATAAACTTGCTGGGAGTTGGTTCACATTTTTTGGGTAATGGGTATCACCCTGGACGTGATTTCATTAACCAATCTTCTGTTTATTATGACATCAAGTAACCATGCTTTGCGGTATCATCTTCCATTGTGACGTCATAGTTCATGGCAATTTTCCCCCAAACATTTACAGGAATAATGTTTTCCCCAAGAGATAATTTTCTTTTTGAGTAATTATCTATAAATGTGATGAATATGTTTAATTTTTCGTTACAGACTTTCAAGTCTGCAGCATCTGAGTGTGGATTATAACAAGTTGACGGAACTTCCAGTGGAGATATGTGCCTTGCTCCGTTTAGAAGAGTTCAGAGCGGCTGGAAATCAGCTGACCAGTCTTCCACTGGAATTTGGATTCCTGGTGAATTTGGAAAAACTTTATCTACAGAAAAATAAAATCAGGGAGCTACCAGAGGTATGGTATTTATTAAAAAAAATCCTCAAGGTTTTAACATTTTCTTAAAAAAGGGATATGGCTGTGGTGCTAAATGTTATGAGGGTTATTTTTCCCTAAAGTATTGATTCTACAGCATTAACAGTGAATAACAACAAATATATTACGATACAATGTATTCCGTCTTTGCATATTGCAGAGTTATCTTCTCTTGTGAGCAGGTATTGATTGTTATGTCATTGGTCTGTGTGAGAACATTACATCGTTTTCTCAAACATTGATGACGTTACTCTCACAATCAAATGATGTAACAATTAATACCTGTTCACAAGAGAAGATAACTCTGCAATACGCAAAGACGGAATATGTTTTTGTCTATGAAAAAAAAAAAAAAAATAGTTGTAGGGAGACAAACTTTTTTATAGAGTTAGTACCAGGTAGGATATTTACATGCAGTCTTTAATTCTGGTGTTCTTTTAAACAATCTGATAGGGTTTTTTGTGTATAAATACCTTGTTGAAGTCTGCATCTTTGAAACTGATGAATAGTAAGTTAAATCAATTATTGTTTGAACCAATTAAGGCAACAAGTTTAAATTTGAGAAAGATGAAAAAGTATTGTTAGAGGTAATTATACTAAAAAAGCATATCTATTAGACTTTAATTAAATTGATTGGGATGGGAGTGGGGATGAGTTGGGGTGGATGGGGGAGGCAGGGAGAGGGTTTGGGTTGGGGGAGGAGTGTTAGAAGATGTGTTATGTATTATCGTATTAAGATTTGTATGAATTATAAATGAGTGTCTTGATCTTTGACAAAATTGTCACATTGAACTAGGTGAGAAATTTGTAATGAAATAAAGAGTTAGTGTTAATCAATTTAATAAAAAATGAAAAAGTCTCATTGTTTCCAATGAAAAAAGTCTATTAATAATGTGGTCGCTAGGTAGGTGCTTACAGTAGATTAAATTCTTTTTATTTAAAAGAAATTCTTACATTACAGACGCCATCATGTATGCTAATATTTACCATTACTAGATATGATTTTGTTAAACAAGTACATTTATTTATTTTTCAGAGTCTTGGAAAATGCTACAAATTAAGAGTAATTGACATTGCTGCTAACGAGTTGAGGATTTTCCCTACCGAGGTAACTTTTTTATGTACATGTTATTTTATACTTTGTTAAACCATGTTCATTTAAAAAATTAAGTATTATAATTTATATTCCTGGCCAATGATTTTGTTGGAACTTTGTTAGCTAACTAAATCATATATGTACCTAATTAAGTTCATGCACATGTTTATGAAAAGATAAAAAAAAATTGACACATTATGACTCTTTGTTTAGTATTCTAATTCAACTCAGTCTGATACATGAATAATATCAATTTTGCCTCTAAAGTGTTACAATTGTGATTTTAGTTGGGTGATCTGCCGCTGAAGGAGATGTACTGTGAGGAGAATCCGTTATTACAACACATCCCTGTGCACTCTGTTCAGGAAGAGGAAGTCCTCTCACTCAAGGTATAGCTAGAACAATTCATACAGATTAAAGCAAGAATCACACAACATGAGGATTTAGCATGGCAAATTTCATAGGTGCTATATTGTATATAATAATTCTAATTTTTCACGGTAGCTTCCAAAGAACAATTTGAAATTATTTCAAATTTTGAGCAGAATGTTTATTTCTGATGATGGAGCAAGTTTCTTCAATAATTGTAACTGTAAATTTAAATGCATGATTTAACTTAATTACATTTTTTGCTGTTGCTACATTTCTTTCAAAAACATGTTTTTTGAAAATAGGGTGCATTATTTCTTTCATCTATTATTAATGCAAAAATTTCAGTATTTTTTTTTTAAGAAAAAAATATTAATGTCTATTTAATGTTCATTAATTCGCAAACATAATCTATATTTATCAGGAAATAACAGCAAGATATGTGATGAAAGAGTTAAAAGACAGGTATGTACAAAACATAACTCACCATTATAATGATGTTTCAGGTAAGGTTCCACTGTTATCATAATTTATGATAAAATTTGCAATGTAATTAAGGATCCCTGAACTACTGCACTGTGTTTTGTTTGTATAGATATAGTAACCTCCCCTTAATTTCCGTTTGGATACATGTCAAATTCTATACCACAGCTGTTCTAGGATACTTCTGATGACCAGGTAGCCCAATCGGTTAGAGCAATTGTATAACAATCTGAGGTCCAGGGTTTGAATCCCGGTCTAGCCTCGTTGATTTTTTTTACACTCAGAACACTGCTGTTGATTACATTTTACTAATTTTATCTTTATAATTTCTTATAAAAGTTTTGCAAGGTATGGTTTTCTTTTCAGAACTGATTTATCAAAACCATAATCATACCAAAAAAAAAAGCTTTTTGATATAGTTACAGTTTTTGTCAGTGGTACATTAGGATCCTTAAGTGAAAAAATACCTAGAGTGAATAGACTGAATACAACTATTATATATTTTTCTAATTTTAAACAAAAATATTGCATTTTCAATGAATTGTTTAGATCTCAAGCAATTAGCATGCTTATACATTAAATTCACCAGAAAATGTTTGGAAAAATTTGTGATAAACTGTACATTTTTATTTTTTATTTTTATGGAAAGACATTGCATTTTCAATGCATTTTTAGAACTCAAGCAATGGAGCATGCATACATATTCACTAGAAAATGCTGTTAATACTAAATTTTGTTAATTCCTTTGAAATTCACTCAAGTCAATCTTTTTTTTTAATTTTGTATATATTTTGGTACAAAAATAGGCATCCAGAAAAGAGGTATACATTAAACACTGATTCAGAATTCACCATCAGCATGTCGGAATGTTCTCACTAAGATAACACGTAGATATATTTACAAAAATTCTCTGACATGTTATATTAAGTCATCCTCGATACTCCAGGGGATATATGCTCATGTACGCTCTCTGCATCCCTTGAATATGTCATGGCAAAATATTGAAGGCTCAAAGTTTGCTATTTGATTGGTCTCAGGTAAAAAAATAAACCTGACCAATTGCTAGGCTGATACCTGTCCTTTGAAGATTATATTCCGTCTTTGCGTATTGCAGAGGTATCTTCTCTTTGGAGCAGGTATTGATTGTTACGTCACTTGTTTGTGTGAGTAACGTCATCAATTTTTGAGAAAACGACGTAATTTTCTCACACAAACCAATGACGCAACAATCAATACCTGCTCCCAAGAGAAGATAACTCTGCAATACGCAAAGACGGAATAGCAGACTTCGAAGCCAGCCAATTTTACAGTTACGCGACCAAGGATTATGCTAGTCTTCTTGTCTCATTTATGAGGTGGCGCACACTGCGCCTTCAATTTTTACCGTTACACGACCGCGAGATTCTTTTGATGTACATCAAAGGATCAAACTAGTCTTCTTGTCTCATCAAAAAGGTGGCGCACACTGCGCCTGGTATTTTGCCATGACATATTCAAGGGGTGCTGAGAATGAAAGTGAGAGTAACCCTAGGAGTATTGAGGATGGCTATAAGTCTTCATGTCACATTATTTTCCCCATGGGTTCTACGTTAATTGCCCAGCCCTATCTCACAATAAATTTTGCTGACTTCATATGTCATCCCATTTTGATACAATTTTGCTCACGGCCGTGGAAAAGTGCAGTACTTCTATAATCAATTTTTACGCAATTAAATTTGTCAGTATTATTGAGATATCAATCTTTTTATCTCTGCATACAAGTCATTCTTGACGTAATTCTCACAGACACGAAATGTCAAGTTTTGCTGTAAACAAATTTTTTGACCAATCATCTTATCATGGTTAAAATTCTAAGAAACATAATTATATAAATATTACCAATACTAACAGAAATGCTGTATTATTACTTCTAGTCATATACCAAATTTTATAAAAATTGGATGAAAACAAAGTCAGGAAAATTTATGGAAAAACTAGGAAAATAATGATGAAAAGGACTTATAGTGTGTTACTGTATATATTTACGTAGACTCTGCATTGCCACTGTATAAACCGTAACCAATGCCAGCTGTAATTTAAGTTATGACACTATTACTCTGGATTTATCATAATGACGTCATTATAATTGTGATGTCATAATCATAACGTTGAAATTAAGTTAAAATATTGAAGAAAAATATTTATCACATGCTGAAGCTCATTTTTTTTTAAATTTTAAAGTAATCAGTAACTAGGGCTCAGTTGTTTAAAACCTCAGCAGTTTCTTTCCAATTGATGCAAAATAAAATTCTCCAGAATTTGTTCGAAAATATTGAGATGCAAAACAGTTAAACTTTAATCAAAATATAGGAATGATAAAATTTTATCAAAAATATTGTAATTATTAAATATTTGTAATTTTTCAAATATTTCTTAAAACTCGTCAATATAAACAAATGATTTACTGACTGTCCAACACTGACCTTCACCGCCTCCGTTACGGATGAGAAGTCACGGAGTCAATGGCGGCCGATGTCAGCGCCACCTATTAGCGCAATTCAAACTATTGAGGAGATAACTATTAAAAGTCGTCTATACAGAGGGGAAAAAATAAAATACGATAAATAAAATCTGATGTTTATAAAAAAAAAAAAAAAAAAAATGATTTAAAACAAAATTTAGATGTACAATATCCTTAAATCTGGGTAAAAGTGTGTTAATTAATTAGTGCAAATCTGAACTTTTAGTTAGTTTTTTCATCTTTCTGACTATTATTGTGTGGTGTGGCCATGCATGCATGTCAAATTAGAAAAAAATATTAGAGCTAGGATATTATGGGTTGTTTGATCCTGAAGATGTATGCATAGCTGACTATGAGAATTCAAAGGTATAAATATTCACTTTAGCTTAGCAATATATATGCATGGACCGTGTTTATATTTCTTTTCACCGATACACCTTTATGTCTTTACCTTTTTAGCTGTATGCAGTGTCAATATACCAGTGTGTCACCAAAATGTTATTTTGCATATTATTTGTAGAATTAATTAAAGTTTAGCTGTCTCCAGGGTTATAGACACTAACTGTTTTTGTTTGGTAGTCCACAGGACTAGTTGAATAGATTACTTACTAGTCCTTTGTCTGTGTAACTAGTCCAAGATTTCCTGATAAGGAAACAATTGCGATCTACAGCACTAAACATCAAAAGTAATTGACTGTAGGAGACTTAAAATAACTACTACCATAAATATATATGGTAAAGTTTTAAGAACATTTTGACAATCATCATGCAATATATCTTATTTTTAGCAGTTTTCTAAATTAAAAAAAAAAAAAATCTTATTTTATAACCATATTATTTCACAAGTCCTAAGGACCAGTTAGGTTAGGTGATTCACTAGTCCTTGCTGAAATCTACTAGTCCAGGACTAGTGGACAAGTGTAAGTGTCGACCCCTGGTCTGTTCAACTTGTCAAGTTGTCATGTTGACTCGCATGTTGGCAACTATATACAAATACTCGATAAATATTTAGGAAATTTTCACAAAATCAAGTGGTCCCAGGAAAGCAAAATATATTTAATACAAAAATGAATAAGGCATTGAAAAAATAACTTAAGGAAACCTACATTTGGAATTTTTATTTGGTTGTAAAAGGAGATTATATCCGTAAATTACATTAGCTGTTAAAAGAATATGTTAAGCAAAATAAAATCTAGGAAATACAAAATAGTTTTATTTTTTTTCAAAATTGTTCTGTAATAGAAGGTACAGATATTAGAAATGTTACAGGCATGACTATATGCAGGTAAGTAAAATGAGAGCATCTTGTCTATCATAATATATAATTTTTCATTGATTTTGAATAAATTCTTTTTGTTCTAATATTTATATGAATAAGATTAAGCTAATAATTACAAAAATACAAGAAGAAAAAGAAAAAAAAAAGATTAAGCTAGCCATACATACATTTTACCTCATACTGTTACCTGCTTTTTGCGTGACTCCTTTTCTCTTGTTTCCCAGAAAACGGATCAATGTAATGCAGGTTTCCTGCAAGCTCCTGTTATTTACCTACAGGAGATCTAGATGACCCGCCTTGTGATTCTGCGCCACAAAATGAATAGCCATATACTTTTCATAATATTGTGTAAAAAATATGTTTTTCTTTAATTATACGAAGAATATTTATTTTTTGTCATTTGCAGTCGTACCCAAACATATTTCTCTCCAATTTCCGGTTTACAGGTGGTCGTACCTGCGACGTGCCATCCGTCACTACCCCCAGATAAAGGACATGCTAGCCCAGGCCAGCAAGTGTTCTGTTTGTGGCGAGTCTTTCCTTAACACCTGGTTGGAATGTGTACGCTTTGTGGATGCCAAGAGTGTAAGTAACGTTAAGGTCAAAGGGAGCGTGGTGGCCAAGGGATTAACCCTTTCACCCCTATGTAACGTTAGTTGACTCTACCATGCATTAATATAGATGAGTCCATTATGGTCTACAGTGGTGAAAGGGTTAAGGCGTCTGACATTCTGCTACCACTAGCCCTCCACCACTTGGTTGAGGGTTCGAGACCTATGTGGGGCAGTCGATCGCCAGGTTCTGGCCATATAGGTTGGTGGTATTTCTCTGGGAACTCTGGCCTTCCTCCAACACCAAAACCTGGCACATCCTTCAATGACCATCTAAGTTATAATGATAGGACGTAAAACACAGACAAACCAAACCAAACTGTAAGGTCAAAGGGTACAGTGGGCAGCCATTCATAGAAGGATAACCCTTTATTTCACAAGTATTCCATAGGAAAGAATTATTGAAGGAAAAAATTTAAATTAAAAAAATAGCTTTTTAAAAAAAAATCAGTGATGCTTGAATTTCTATGCAAAAAATCTGTCCTTTAATTAGTTATTTTAAGGTAAAACAGGGGTCTGGATGATGTCAAACAATGCCAATTAAACCATGGGAGATCAATTTTCTATCAATATGGTCATAATTAATGCTTACAGTCTGTATTGAGCTCACATCCAAAACTTCAATATACTGCCCCTCGTCTTATTTGCCACCTCGTTTACCGTCAACATATTTCAATGTCTCTTTTCTTATTTCTGATGAATTCCTTTAAACATTTCCCTCAGTTTATTGCCGAATCACTTAATTATAATGCCGAAATTTCTCTGGACAAATGGTAGCAGTATAACTAGATTTTAAGTACTGTATATATTAGGACCTTTACAGTTGGTTTATCCTTTAAAATGACCTCAAACAAGAGACACCTGTGTTAAGAGGTCACTTTTAATGTTCTCCAATGTGATGATTACACTGTGCATTTAGCAGTTGTAAGAGACCACCTGCATGAAGGGACCTCTTTCTGGACTTCCCACAGGTGGTCTCTTAGTAAAGGTTTGACTGTAGCTAATTCACATGCATCTAACGCTTAGAATGAGATCAAAGTTCTAGCAATATGGTCGGGGTTTAGATCACACAAGTCCAACATTCTAAAACTTTGAGAGTGTTGAACTTGTATAAGCCAATACCTTGACTGTGTATGCACTATATTCTGACCATACTCAGGGTTAGACACTAACTTATAGCTTGGTAGTCCACAGGACTAGTTAAACAGATTATTTACTAGTCCTTCTCTAATGTAACTTGTCCAGGATTTCCTGATTATAAGGAAACAGCGCTATCTACAGCACGTAAAATTTAAAAATATATATTCCTATTTTATATCAAATTTCACAAGTCCAAAGGACCAGTTAGGTTAGGTGATTCACTAGTCCTTGCTGAAATCTACTAGTCCAGGACTAGCGGACTTAAGTGTTAGTGTCAACCCCTGCATACTAATAGAAGTTGGAACTTAGAATCTAGAATTTAATTGTAGAAAACCTTAGATTTTGGCATATTTTGGCATAAATACTATAGAAAAATGAAGATTAATAAGTTTGTATCCCTTTTCTTTGTACTTTTAGGACCTTCACTTGACCAACATCACAGGACTTGTGCCCGTCAGAGCTCTACTGTGTTCGTACAAATGTTTCAATTCCGCTGGCCATCAATATTACGGAGTTGCCTTCCCTTAACAGGCTGCTGATAAGAATGTTGACAGTCATGTTGACATGATGACAGATGACGTTATATCATCAGGACAGATTATAACAAGTCAACTGTTTCACTGTTTTTATGTTGAGAGCTAGCTGCATGGGTTAAATTTTGATGATCTTTGACCTTAACAGTTCATGACCTCTGGCAAGGTCAAAGACATGTTACAACACAGTGTTATCAGTTGAACTCAAACTGTAAACCGTGATCTCCGACACATTAAAAGTATAAGGTTGATGCTTTGCCTTTGACCTTGCAATTAACTGGTACAAGCACTAGTTGATAAATGCAGATCAACCTTTGAACTGTTGACCTTTATGCATGTATATAACCTCTAGATTTGACCTTAATGTCAAACCAAGTTACAAGCAAAATATTTGACTAAATATATGATGATAAAATCGTAATATATGTTGACAGCTCAACATGAAAAAGTCAATATTATGAGGGAAAATGAAAGATTTTTTTTTATATTATTACAGTTAGAATGTGTGGAAAATGTAACTAATGACTATACCAGATTCAATATAGCTGTTAGTAATTATTAAATATTGCATTGTTCATATTTTTATGACATTTTAAAGCAATCTGTGATATTTATGATAAAATAATATCCATATCCGTATAGCTTTCCCACAGTAGTTTTTTATAATACGTGAAAGGGTTTTATTGAGGGGTTATTCATTATGATGAGGCATTTAATAGAATAAATACAGTACTCCACCTTCCCCCACAGACAAGCATTATGATTTATCTTACTGTTACAATGTACATAATCACCCGAGCCGTTCCAAACTGACAGGTGTGTCTTTATTATACCTTATCTGTAAATATATTTATGATACAGCAATGCCTTATATTTTGATGCTTCGTTCTGACATTTTTCAGAGATAAGAAATAGCCCGAGAGTATTTAGTGCAGTTTTTTAAGTTGAATACTAAATCATTATTATTAAGGATCCCTGAGCCACTGCAATGAAATTTCCCCTTTATACAGTTACCTCCCCTTAACTTTCGTTTGGCTACACTTCCCTCGTCTCGGTAGCTCTATCCATTTCAGCGATGGTATAACAATCTGAAGTCCAGGGTTCAAATCCTGGTCTGGCTCCGCAGAATATTTTACGCTCAGAACATGTTTGTTCATGATATATTGTTTAATTCCTTTCCATTATGTTTTCATAAAAAGTCCCGCAAGGTTTTCTTTTCTTTTCAGAAATGATTCATCAAAGCTATAGTCATGCCAGACAACTAAATTTTGAATGCATATAAGTTTCATTTCTTTGGCAGTAACACGAGGATCCTTAAATTTTCAAATGCCTTTTATGCATGTTAATTTGAAGAATATCAATTATGGACAAATATAGTGTACCCATTTTTGTATAATTTGTATTCTTCATCATTTTAAATGACAAGTTTTTAATTTGTTAATGTCATTAACCATTAAAATTAAAACAAAATGAAAAAAACCCACTTGTTTCTTATCTCTTTATTTCATCATTTTCAGAAATTAGAAAAAAAAATAACAATAAAATGCAATCTTCACAAAACATCATTATATGACTGTTTAATAAAATAAAATAAAATGTCTGAACAAGTCTCAAAATTTTTCCTATCATATACTGTAATATCTGCATTGGTGCTTAAGACACATACAATGTGAAAATTCTCAATAACATTTGAGAATTGTCTAGAAGCCATAACTCGGTATAAAACAAAAGGAAAGTGTAGTGAATATGCACTTTATATAAGTGTACTCAAATAAGTAAAATTGAAAATTTCAACTCAAAATATAAATTAGAAAGGAGTGAGAATGAGAAAACAAAACACTTTTCATTTAAAAATTACCTAAAAGCACCCCCTGACTTACTCGTTTTTTTTAAACGATTTAAAGTAACTATTGAATTTGTCATTTTTATTCTTTTATATACGTATGCCTGTTTAGTTTATGCTTGTTTTCAAAAACAGAATTGAAACCATTTTAGTTTTTAAGCACATTTTGAAAACAGCAAATTATATTTGTAATATTTACCCTACCCCTTTTGGTACCACCAAAAACTCACTTTTGGTTAAACTTTTACCTTAGTTTTTGTGCATGTGATATAATAGGACATCTTTGAACAAATTAAGGAGGGCAAAACCTGAATATAGGGGGGGGGGGGGGGCAAAAAAGGGTCTTATAGACACTCATCCTTTCTTTAAACATCCTCAACATTTCTTAGTTCAATGTCCACACTGCTTGCTTGCAAATACACATGCAAGCACAATTTCCATGACTATCACATGTATGATCATGTAAGATTTTGAAGATTTGTACAATATTTAAATTTACTGTATATTTGGTACAATTGTACCCCTGTTTCTGAGACCCAAAACAAGTATCTTTTTCTTAAAAAAATAATCCTAATCTGTTGTTTTGTGATACAATCTCCAAAAATATGACCAATGTCAAGGAAAAAGAGTTTCAATATAACAGCTTAAAAATATATACAAATTTCTAAATGGTTACCGGGTAGTCTAAAGTGAGTTATGCATATTACTTTGTCATTTATATTCCAAATTCCACAATTTGTCCAGATTTAAATTCAACAAACTCTCTTACATTTACATAAAAGTGTTTTTTTCCCAGAATATAAAACAATACATTTATATGATATTTAACAATAAGAGTATGCCACTCAAAATTCAGGGTATATGCTTCCTGAAAATATGTTAGGGTTACCTCCCTTGAAATGTTTTAATAAGCATTTAATATCCAACAATTTAATGAGTGTTATTAATGCACACATTCCTAACGTGAATGGTAAAAAAAACAAAACTTTTTTTTAATTTAATTTCATCAAGTCGCTCTCCTTTTCCACATTGAGGCATTGGAAAGTTCCAAATTCGTGACGTCACGTCATTGTCGAGCCATTGTGATGTCACGTCACGTGAACTGGGGTGCAAGATTGAAATTTTCTACACCCCTTTCTTACCCTGGACAGCTCTATCTTACACACAGGGAAATGAGAGAAAAAAAAATATCCATAAAACAAAACAATATGCAGTCCTCTTGCAGCAAATGCTGCATTGAGCAATGAATTTTCAAATAACATGCAGTTATTTTCACCATGTTTGAAAATAAAACATATTTAATTTTTCAAAATAATTACCAGCATCATCATAGACCATAAAAGCTGACGCTGTATAACAAAAACAGCAGTAGGTGTATTTGAAACAAACACTTCAAAGATATTACAAGAGTCTTCCTGAAGAAGATTTGCAATTTGTCTGACGGCAATACACTTCTAAGAAAACTGAAAATGCTGTTGTGTTTATAAAACAGATATTCATTCATATAACCAGCGGTGCAAAAAACATTTCATCTTTGATGAACAAAACAGTAAAATTAATAACAAATATGAAAGAGGTGAAACTGAAGTAATGTAGCCATATAATTGTATAGTCGAGCCTTGTCAAATTACCTTTGTTTAAAGCTGATAATTGCTGGATATAGAAACAACCCATTTTAATACTGTGACACTCTTAAACAGAAAAGAAGGAAGTTTGGCCCCTTAAGCACTGGCTTGATATAGCAGGACAACCTGACTTGGGTAAATAGTATCACTGATACAGATGATACATAATGTTGGCAACAGTATCTACTGAACACCCAATAATAATAGTACAAGTGTAACACAACTCATCCTCGATACCCCAGGGGTTACACTCACTTACGCTCTCTACACCCCTGGAATATATCATAGCAAAATTGAAGGCTCAGTGTGTACCACCTTGTGGATGAGACGAAAAGACTAGTTTGATCCTTTGATGTTTATCAAAAGAATCCCGCATGAGTGTAACAGTAAAATTGACTTGTTTTGAAGTCGGGTGTCGCTCCTCTGTAATCTTCAAAGCACAGGTATCAGCCTAGTGATTGGTCAGGATTTTTTTACCTGAGACCAATCAAATAGCTAGATGTGTGCCTTCAATTTTGTTATGACATATTCCAGGGGTGCAGACAGTGTAAGTGAGCGCATCCCCTGGAGTACTGATGATGAACACTACTGGGCTATTGGCTTGGTCGCAATGATATGGTGGTACATTTGTATCAGCCTTCAGGGGTTTATCAGGGTACTTTTTAGGGCCGTTTTAAGGACCCATTCCAGATGGAAAAAGTGTGTAATTTTTTCCAAATTTGCCCCTTTAAAATTCCTTATCCAAAAAATCTAATCAAATAAATGCATTTATTACATTTTTACCAGTGAAATATTGAAAATTGTTTAGTCTTAAGCATAAAAGTGATATTTTTCAAAAGTGAAAAATATGATATTTTTACTTTTTCTGATTTGACCAATCAAAACACTGATTACAAACTAGAATGGGAAACATTACAAATTGCCCATCTGGTCAAAGACTGGTTAGCTTAACGATACACAGGCCTGATGAAAATGCTGCACACTCGTGAAAGATATCAAAATATAAGCCATGCACACTTAAGCTTGTGAAATATATTTGGTATTAATAAAGACACTGTTAGATATCCTCTATATACTTAAATAAAATCCTACCAATTGACTGAGTTCTCAGAATGCAGCATATGTAGAAAGGACAGAATTATTGGGTTGCCATAATGACGGGCTTAAATAAAAGTTAAACAATCTAATTTCATGTATTCAGAAGTGTTATAATGATTATCCAAATTTTCCAAAATGGCTAATTACATGTCGATGATTTTTTCCCAATTTCATCGCAGGGTCCGTTTCCCAAAACCCCCCATGGCCTTGTCCAATGTTGTTCTGAGTTAAACAAAATGTTTATCACCATAGAAAGGCAATTTATGATAGAACTGAACAGCGCTTAGAGAGGATTAGTTAATACTACATTTAAGTGTTGGTTTAATTCACAAGACTTGACTAGTACTCTACAACATAGGTCTAGTTACCAATGCCCTATATAAATGCTGCTTTTACACACAAAAAACAATAAAAACAAGTGTATTAAACAGTTAAATGCTTATATTTTTGTGAATACGGGTACATGTACTGTATTATTTTAGCGGCATTCTTATTTTAGCATCTTTCTTAACAATATCTTAAAGACTTTTACCATCCAGACACATATGCAGCTCCAGGTATAGCACACCCTAGCAATACTATTCTCTCTTTCCCCTTTAACCATTACATTTACTTATGTTTATTTCTTGCATTAACACTCATTCACTCTCCCTTTCCCTTCTGTACAACAATATTTGTAAAAAAATATTTCTCATTCATCACAGAGTATTTATTTCCAGTTATGTATTGACTAATTTCTTTGTAACATAATAAAAGGTTATAATGCCAATCAATTTGGTGGATAATCAAAATTACAGCCCTATATTTCATTTTCTATATTTTTTCTTCTTAAAAAATGTTCAAAATGTCTAATTTCATCATACCCTGACAACAATTATCACAGTCTAAAGCTAATATCACAAATTGTTTCAATCGTTGAACTTTGATTAAAAATAATAATCTGATCACACCTCCAAGAAAGGCCTATTCAAAAGTCCAAGGAACAACTTATAGGTAACGAAACGGGACGAAAAACATTCAGTAACTGTTTATGTAACAAGAGGCCCAGGGGCCTTAATAGCTCACCTGGCATTTTATTTTTCAATTTAAAACCTGCTGAGTACCCATTCAGGTTTATCAAAGGAGTACAAGTAACAAAGTTGCATCTTCCATTTATAAATATTCAATTCCCTTTGCCCAAAGATTCTCTAAAACAAGTTTGGTTAGGTTAAAATCCCTTCAACGGTACAGAAGGAGAAGGATCTTTAATGTTTTCCTCTATTTCCCCTAATGGGCCCCACTAATCTGCCCCAAAGAAGGGGAATCCACACACCTCAGTTTAAACAAAATTGATT